TTTTATTTTTTTAAAGTTACCTCCACACTAAGATTTTCTCCTGTATCGTGTAGACAGTTAATAAAAGGCATACATCTATTTCACAACGACAAACATCCAGATCCGGAACAATTATTTGTAAGCCATACAAATATTTGTTCCGTGCGGGATGCGAACTCGCGGCCCTCAGCGCCGTAACTCATTGCTATGTGACTGCGCCTCTTAGCCGTCAAAGGCCATTAAAGAGTTAATGATAACAATACGAAGTATAAAAAACTGCGGTAGCCAAACATGGCAACTACAGCAAACAAGGTAAACTATGGAGGAGACTTATTTTCTTCAGTTTACTTTTGATAGGCTGTGATGTTAGATAGATAATAATTAATTACAAACATTTTAAAATACGAAAATTATAATTTAGTTTACAATACCAAAGCAGGTCTTGACTAGGTCTTAATCTATAATACATTATATAGTATATTTGTCATAATGTGAAATTCAAAATTTATTCATAGTATTACACTTATAGATAAGAAAAAGTAACCCAGGATTGAAACAGTGTAGTAATCTAATGTTGAAATAAGTTTAAGCTTAATATAACTTAAGACGTGAGAATTAGTGTGATACGAATTTAAAATAATAATAATGAAAACATTATTTTTAGATGTTTATATAGATCATATTAAAATACCAATTACTTCAAAATTGTGATAATAGTAACACAGTTTTATTAACTGTACAACAAAATAAATACATCAAAATAAAAATAAACAAAGAAAACTTAGGGAGATTGGTCAGGATGCCATGAGAGCCAGCCAAGGTTATTGTTCTCTGGACATATATCGTACCACAAAAACAAATTTCGTGCTTCCGCTGGCTCTTTGTCTTCGGCTCATAAACAATTGTACAGTACTATTTCGGTACAGGAACCACCCAATTATTGTTAACATCCAAATAAAGATATATATCGACGATCGTTCCATAATCCATATGCATTAATTAATCGCAACACTCCAAAATTGCCAGTGTGGATAATAGTGTCATAACCAAAGTAATAAATATAGTTCCGTAGATTCCATGTTGTGTTAATAATACGTTTTTACATAATATATTCACGTTGAAAACCAAAGTGTTGTAAGTTGAAATGTGACACTTGAAAAAGTTGTATTATACTCTTAAACATATTTTAATATCAAAATGAAGAAAAAATGACCACTATCGACAAAAAAAAGGGTATAAAAAGCTAATCCAACAACCATGTGCTGTGGTCAACATTTCCATTCTGTGCCCGCGTTATCAAGGCTAAATTTGGGTACACATTAGTCAATAACAAACATACCTTCGGACTCAACAACAACACTTAATCTAATTGTAGATCGTTCAGCATCTTCATGATCCAAATACTTATAGCATATTTTCTCATCGCCTCACTAGTAACGTTTTTAAAAAGTTTTTGTTTGCCATACCAATACCAACCTGTTTCGTGAGGGAATCAAATCTGTAGTAGGTACTTAAAGCTGTTGCCAAATGGTCAGGTAATAGGCAAAATCGAAATCGTTAATACAAAACAGTGTGAGGAGTAGAAGATAAGCGTTTTCTATATATTCTAACTAAAATAACTTAAACCATGTTTCATCAATTCTTATACACATTTTTTTTTAATAAATTGATATACAACCTGTACACACATCAGTGCTTGTACACATACACATGCAATAATTATGAACAAAGAAGTCATAGATGCAAATGCAATTGCCACCCACGAAAACTAAGATAAAATTTTCCGCTGCAGTAGTGCACTACAACTTGCTAACTATGCAGTTATAGAGTATCATATTAAATAATAATGAGTGAGCGATATATTAAAACACAGCTTTATCGTTTTGTTATTGAGCTTGCTGTCAATCTTATGGGCGTTAACCTGCAAAGACTGACTGATATGACCCTAAATCGGTAATAAGTATTAGGTCTTGTTGTCTTGTGTATTAACTCGTGTATGTAATGATTTCTTATATTTACGCGAAGACTACACATTGAATGAAACTAAGTTTTTACGGATTTTAACGTGTTTAATCAAAAACTGAAGGTAGCCGCGCTAACTATTACATCGGGACGTCGAACACCTCAGTCCACCCCCGTGACCACGGGTGCTGTAAAGCATCCGAAACGTCGGGAATTGAAAGTTAAATTAAACGCGATAAAATACGTAAAAAATTAGTTTAATTCAATCGTGTAAGTAACTTAATTGAGTCGTGGTAGATCAGATGGTAGCGCTCGCTATAAATTTCACAGTACGTGGGCAACCCGAGTTCCATCCCTGCCGGCACCAATGAAATTGTTAATTGCAATTTTAAGTGCTATATTCGAGGAGGGCGGCCGTCATTTCCTTGCCCTAAAACCCCTTCAGAAATGAGGGGAGGCCTGTATCCAGCAGTGGGACGCATATAGGCTGTAACTTTAACTTAACTTTTATTAAATCGTTGCAGAGTTCTAGCGGGAATCTTTATTTCACGCGATAATATTTTGTTTTATTTATTTATTATAATTTTGGTTTTGACGACCTGTCTGTCCCTTTTTTTGTAGCTCTCGTCAGTGTTTTGTATTTTTCCATAGTTGTCACGCTTGGCGAGTGGGTTGGCAACCGCAGTTTTTTTTATTGTAATTTGCTGTTTCAGAAAGATGCTGCTGCCCATCTTCTGTCTCAGGTTCCCTCTGTCGCCTCTTACGACACCCACGGGAAGATATGGGGTAGCGGGTATTCTTAACTGTCACTACAAGAGACATTACATCACTCACTTTCGATTTTGCCGGCGATATAGTCCTTATTTCAGTAGTGGACTTGTGAAGGGCTGTAGTGATGATGATGAGCACATTTTTATTTTTGAATTCGGCTAAATATTGCTGCATTTTGCCATTGATTGTTGTTCTTGCATCATCTAGATTGCTCACATCTATTTACTTGCTTACATCAGTGAATCTGTTTGTCCATTCAAGATAATTGGTTTCTGAATTTTTATTTATAAAACATGCTAATAGGAGTTTGTTCAAGTCATTGAAATAGTAATTTTTACAATAAAGGTTTAATTTACTTTTTTATATAGAATAAATTCCAGTTTCGCAATAAGACAAAAACTTGTGTTTACAATTATAATTATTGCTTACATCTGCTTAAAAATTTTTGTTCATTTCTCAGTTTAATAGTGGAACAGTCAAAGGTTTCTGTAACATTCGAAAGTGAATGCCCATTATGGTTTACAAACAAACACGATAACAATGACTGTCGCTATTGTTGTCTTGCTTGTTACGTAAGTGTTTGTATCAGGGACGATAAAAAGTTTAAACGGTGTTATGAGTGGGCATAGTTTATTGTAACTGAAATGACTTCTCAATTTTAGAAAATTTTGGTTGTGTATCAGGAATTTAACTAAGTTAGGACAAGCATAGCTAAATATGACTTACAGACCTTCAAGAAAAGAGCCTACTGTTTTTTGAAAGGCAGACAATACGCCTGTAATGTATTCAGGTGTGTAGTTAGATAGTGTTATTGTTTTAGATATCATTATATAAAAATCAGTCTTTCTAGATTGGTAGAATTGGGTTGTTAACATCATTATTCCGCGTCATAATATACCGCGTCATATAGGTAATTTGAATTTGTTACTTTTATTCAGAAATATACGCATAAAATGTTTATTTTTTACTCAAGAAATAAAGGTGTAATTTAGAGTTATTTCCATACAATTTCTAAAGTAAAATTCTGTTCTGATAGAATGTAAATATTAATTTGAAAGTAACAGTGATTTTCTTATACGGGTAGTTACTTATTGTTTGTCAATATACTATTATGTAGCATGCATATTCTTTAGCTTTGCTTTATATTTTCTTAATTCTTCATGCAGTTGTGGCAACTTGCAATTTTATATTGGCAATAAAAAATCGTGCTTACAAATAACGACAATAATGAGCTTAGAGCATAAACGGTCGCATCAGAATGTTCTTTTGATGCGTATGCGGGTGGTGAATAAAATATAACGGCATTGTTATGATCTTTTAAAATTTTTAAATAACTGTACACCAACGTGGCTTACTTAAACTACATTGTCTACAGAGTTGTAAGTTCTGTATTTAGTTTTTAGCCGGCGAGTACCTATATAGGTATATTTTTGTTGATAGAAGACATCAAGTTTTCTATATCGCCCGACATCTTTATGGAATCAGCTACCACCGATTTTTTCTTCAAGTAATGCGGTTATTACTTTTTAAAAGGCTAGCATCACAAATGCAATACTACCGGTGTGGTAGTTCATTGGTAACTACTTGTATGGTACATCATGCACTTGTTTATAAAATGAATTAAATAGGATAATATAATCTTAAAACAAACCATTTAATAATACGAAACCAATTTCAATATGTAACCAATAACTTTTGTGGGTTCGTACTTTTACATAACTAAGTTCATTTATATTTTTTACAGTAACTTGTAACTCTTTATAAATAAATATAGGATAATAAAGATGTTATTTTAATAACAGTAGGATCTTAAACAAAAGTTTATCAATAACATATCGAATCTCTGAATAACTTTTTAACTAGAAAGAAGAAAAGAAAAGAAAAGAAGTTATCAATTCGTATGTATTTTAATGTGTATTTTATGTAACATACCGAGATTAATGAACATTGCTGATTTTTATCAAAAGGATAGACTTTTACAGTAGTGCCATGGCGGTGAAAGAAAACATAGTGCATGCAAACATAGAGAAATAATAAATATTTCGAAGACTTGTGAAGTTAGGTAACACGCATTGGGGCAGCGCGACGGACATTTGCTTGCCCTAAAACCCTCTCAGAAATGAGAGGAAGCCTGTGCCCAGTTGTGGGACGTATATACACTGTAATTTTAACTTTTATATTCTTTATACAGTCAATTCGAATTTTTAATACTCAGCATAATGAAAAACACGTGTATAAAGTCTTTTGTATTTATGAGCATAATTTGATTTGCAGATGGCGACGCGGTGATGACGATGGGCGTTTGTGCTGTGGCGCTGTGGTGCGCCGTGGTTGCGGCAGTGGTGACCACCGCCACCACTTACACCGTCGACTGCAACCACGAGTACACCGATTGTGACACAGAACTGAGTGAGCTGCTTAGAAATTATACAGGTGAACGATCGGATCGTGTTTCCTGAAACTAATCAAACCTTAAAACTAAGACAATAAGGTTTAACTTTGTTACTAATTTTGTTTTACTTCTCATTCACAATTTTAACTACATTAATAATGTTGTATTGACATTGTGTACTTAAATATAATAAGATTAAAGCCTTATAAGTAAGGACTAAAGAAAGTTTCTGCTTGGCATTAGTTTCGTGAAACCGGTTCGATGGTTTTAATTAATATTAATTGACTTTAGCACTATTAATTCCTATTGATCTTGTAAAAATGTATTAACAGTTACATACCTTTAATGTACGCTATATCGAATTAATAAGCTAGCTTATTCTTCTTCTACATTGACCTTTAAAAGACTACGACTCGATATGGGTTCCATAACAAAATTATAACAAACTTTATTTTGACAAGTGATAAACGAATTACCTGAGGTCCCGAGGGTAATTGGCTACTGCAGCCCTTGGAAACATGCAACTAACTATTAATAATAAATTGATATGAATTCAGTAACTAAACTGGCTGCCTAAATCCAGCCCATCGTTTTCCACTGCTAGAGTGGTCTTTCCAGTTGCAGAGAATGTTTGCGATAATCGTCAAACTAGCTGGCGTATTGGTGACCGCAGTATTTTACGTCTGGCGTTATTTTATTATTACCGTAATAGCCAAGTTTTGCTGGCCATCTTCTATTTCCCTCGTTGTCTTACAACACCCACGGGACTATATGGGTTAGGGGATGTTATTATACCACCACTACACTTAATAGAAATTGTGAATTAGGTCGGAATATTATTTTTATAATCGTTTCTAATTTCGTGGAGATTTCTAAAATTCGTTTATTATTTATTTGGCACTGTCGGTTGAAACCTTAGCTGCTACTTTATCTGTGTCGGGTCCTTGAACCTCATTTGCAATGACATAATATATCAGATATTGTATAATTAGATATGGTTGCCGGCGCTAGATAATGGTCAGTAGGTCGCATGTTTGGCATGACTGGTGTAGAGCGACCACACAGTAGATGTAATGCCGCTTCAGCTACCTTGAAGCTTAGAAATCATTGGTATATATTGGGCTTCGAGTGAAGTATTCCAAATATGTGGTAAAATATATTGTATTGTAAAAAGTAAGCAAGCGTCAGTAGCCTAATGGCAGGGCGCGGACCGCGAACTCGAAAGGTCGTGGGTTCGAATCCGCCATTCGACTACTGTCGTGAACCACTTCTAACACAAGCATTTTAAGCTTACCAGAAGTGGTTAAAGGGAATATTAGTGATGTTTAGTAGCATTACTAGTATTTTTCTTTAAAAAAAAAGTATTGATCCAGCAGGATCAAACAAAAGTAAGTCTTGAACGGTTTCAACAGATGCGTGATAAATATTTGGTATCGCTCTTGCAGGTTCCTTTTGCGGCAAACAATTGTTTTGTAAATTTCAGTTGTCCGTATATTCAATATTAATTTGCCTCTATTATACGTTTGTATATTACAATTTTTGTATCCTTTCTCTATTATAAGGTAAATAGCTGGCCCGACAGATGTTGTTATGTCATTTCCGGGAAGTGGCGCGATAAGTTACGCGCCGAATTCACTCTGGATTAATTACAGAGTTAATATAAAATTTATTAATAAATTGACTACAACGCGACCTAGCGGGTCTAGATTTTGTGAATTTTTTTGTTTTGGCATGTAACTGGTTTACATTGTGCAAATGACCAACTTTGAAATATAATAAAGAATTTGTTGGTAAATTGACTACAACGTCTCGTATATATTATCTTTTACTACCATATCTGTGAACTATAATAATGTGTGAATATGACCTCAATAGGACAAGCCGTTTAGAAGTTATATGGTCACTAACAGCCGCACTAATGATTATAAATAAAAAGGTTTATAGTTTTTAAAAACTTTACCTTCGATTTAAAGATGTACCTTGTACGAGTACAAAAGGTTAAGTTCTATTTCTATTTATGTTTTTAAACAAAATATCATGAGGCATCTTTGCGAAAAGAATTCAGTCGTCTATTGTCTCAATTGTTTTGATATCAACAATCTTATGAGATCAGATAAATACATTGTAAGTACAGGTCATGAAAGGATTTAGCAATAGCAATAGCTGCTTCAGTGTAACAGTTTAAAAATTTGGGATTTTATCCTAAATCAGCAAATTAAAATTATTTTGAACAATATTGGTTTAGGTTTTTTTTTTTTTTTTTTTTTTATAGGATAAGGATGACAAACGAGCACACAGTCCACCTGATGGTAAGTGGTTGCTGCGGCCCATAGACATCTACATCTATCCTCTGTTACAAATCAAAATGTAGATGCGTTGTCACCCGTGAGGACTAAGATGGAATGCCTCATTTCCAGTAAAAAGGGCCTCCGGCCACCTGCACTCACCAAGCGAAACGCAGAGGTAAACCAACTCTACTTCACGCTGGTTTTCTGTGAGGTCGTGGTACTACCCCGGTTCGAGCCGGCCCATCCGTGCGACATCAAAAGCTGCCGCGTGGCTCTACCACTGTTTAGTTACTTACTTACTTACTACACAGGTTAGTTACTCGCGCCTATTATGGAAGGTCTATACCTGAAACGTTTTGTATTTCCTTACGATTTGTGTCATACACACAGTGCAGAAAGTGCATAGATAGGTATGCATTTTGTTTAAATAAAAGAATACTTTTATTTAAATGTATTCTAGTTCTTTTGTTTTTAAGTCGATTTAAGATGTCTATCGGAGAGTTTATAATATATTTTACTATTATAGCAGAATGGTTTTTACATCCACTACTTATAATATATTAAAACGGATTTGTAACGAAGAACGAATCGTTTGTTTTTTATAGTATTAGAATCATGCTTTACTAGAAAATAAGCAACGATCTTCTCACCTATATTTTCTGCACCAACTGTAACTAATATTTTGTATTAATGAAACGGTGACAAACAAGCACACAGTCTACGTGATGTTAATTGGATGCTGTGGCCCATACACACATACACATACAACATTCATTCATGACATATATACTAATCCTAAATTATGAATTAAGTTGCAGATGCCTTATAAACACTGAAGAGATAAATGGAATGCCTCGTTTTATAAATACGATATTTTTTTCGGCAAAAACGCGATATAATACACGCAATACAATATAACTCACGATTGAGATCCTTGTATTCTATTGATGTCTAAGGTCCAATTACAACATTGTATGATAAAAAAATAGCTCACAGTACAATACGTGTATTCAATATAGTAAGTTGTTAACCTTGCGTGTGATTTGTACCATCGTGTCATTCTTCTTCCTATAATGAAAATATGTATTTAGTATTTGTCAAAGTTTTTAATTTAATCAAAATATTCAATAAGGGCTGTATTACAGAGTTTTTGAGATTTTTCGAGACCTTTTTAGACTTCAGCACAGCGATATACCGCCAGTCAACTAAGCATAGCTGAAGGGACTGTAGCACCGCCCAAATTTCAACGGAATCAAAGGCTTTTCATAGTCTAATTGCGCAAGACAAAGTGGCAGATTGTACTCTTCGGTCTTATTATACAATTTGCCGAAGGGTATGTAAGTGGTCTATGGTACTAAAGCCTTTTTAGAAACGGGCTTGTTCAAGAGACTGGAAGTTGTCTGTCTGCGTGTAAGACAATTTGTAATGATTTTCGAAAATAGCACGTAGAAATCGGTCCATAGTTCTTCAACAGAGTGTTGTTGCCTTTTAATAGTACTTTGGAGAACTAAATTAAAATACTTCTGAAATACTTCAAGTACTGGTTTTCTACCCGTTTTCAGAAGCTCTGCTGTAATTCCATCCTTGCCTTGCCCTTTCTAAGGTGCTGGAGAACCATTCTAAACTCACTCAGACTGATGTCTGGGATATCATCGGAATAGTGTCGTATAAGACTTGCTCTTGGATCTTTACTCACGCTTGTGTTTGGCTTCAACAATGACATGCTGCCCGTAAAAGTCTCAATCTCACTCGAAATCTCAGGTGTCCCGGAAACGATGCTACCACTTTCGGTCTTCAGCTTTGACAGTTGGTTCTTTCTGGCAGGCAGATCTCTGGCAAAGACTTTGGAGATCGATCGCTTCGTCAATACGAGCTGTATTGAAGTTGAGTATGTCCCGATGTATACATTTGGAGATCTGTCTGTTCAGTTGCCTGTATGCTGTTATTTCTGCTGAAAATTGCAGCTTCGTTTCTCGTCTAACAGCCATGAGATTTACTCTCTAGTTTTTGGTTTCTTCTGCGCAGAGTCTTGTAGAACTTAGCTCCAACCGCATGGACAGTTTCCACAAGCTTGTCATTCACATCGTCAACTATTTTGTAACACGAACTGAAAGTTTTTGGAGCTAAGGATTAGAGCTCGAGGGAAACGGAGCGTTGTTCGTTAGACGTGACTTCTCCAACTTAACATTTTGGTTCAGTGTACCACTAAGAGAGAGGTCAAGATAATGTTGACCCTGGCTGGCTCTGGTTTATTCCAATGGAAAGGCCTCACTAGGGCAATCAACTGTAAAAACATAAAAATACCGTTAGTATTTCGACTATCTCTTTCATCACTTTCACACTTTAATGAAATGTTATTTTTTAAAGAAAATACTTTTTCCTTTTGTTTAAAAGTAATAATAATAATGACATAAATAAGGTTGTAGGGTTCTTTTTCTGCCGAGGCGTTTGTCTGGGTTGATTTTTACATAGTAGCGCTATGCTGCGGCTATATTGTGGCACGTATAGTCGGCTCGACCGGGTAATGACCACGCATTCACAGAACACCAATATAAAATAGGAGTTTTATGCTGTTGTATATCTCATGCTTTAAGCTAGTATCATATCAACCTCATTTTAGTCAGTGATTGCCTAAAATAACAGATCTTCTTTGCGTATTTGCGGTTTGAATAAAAGTTAAATGAATATGTAGATATTATATGAAATGTTTATTATGTGAAATGTTTATG